CATTGGTTTATAGACTTGTTTGCCGTATGAGTATACGTTGCCCGTCAATGGGGTGATGGTAGTTTGAAGTGAGAAGTCAACTGCCGGTTAACTCATGGTAGTTTGAAGTCAGAAGTCAACTGCCGGTTAATAGATGGTAGTTTGAAGTGAGAAGTCAACTGCCAGTTAATAGTATGGTAGTTTGAAGTCAGAAGTCAACTGCCGGTTAATAGGGATCTTTTTGCCTTATGAGTATACGTTGCCCAGGGTGCACCACATTTTGCCGTATGAGTATGCGTTGCCCAGGGTGCACCACGTTTTTGCCGTATGAATATACGTTGCCCAGGGTGCACCACGTGGGCAGTTTGAAGTGAGAAGTCAACTGCCGATCAATAGACTTTGCCGAATGAGAATACGTTGCCCAGGGTGCACCACGTGGAGGTAAGGTGTGAGTGTACGTTGCCCAGGGTGCACCACGGACTCTTTTGCCGTGTATACGTTGCCCAGGGTGCACCAGTTTGTTTGCCGTATGAGTATACGTTGCCCAGGGTGCACCACGTGGGCAGTTTGAAGTGAGAAGTCAACTGCCGATCAATAGACTTGGCGTATGAGTATACGTTGCCCAGGGTGTACCACGTGGACGTATGAGTATACGTTGCCCAGGGTACACCACGTAGAGGTAAGTCTATTGCATGAGTATACGTTGCCCAGGGTGCACTCCGTGGTGGTATATGAGTATACGTTGCCCAGGGTGTACCACGTGGAGGTAGGTATAGTATACATTGCCCAGGGTGCGCCACGTGGAGGTAAGACCGTATGATTATACGTTGGCCAGGGTGCACCACGTGGAGGCCGTATGTACCTTTTGCCATATGTGGATACGTTGCCCAGGGTGCACCACGTGGAGGTAAGTCTAAATATACATTGCCCAGGGTGCACCACGGAGGTAAGTCTATTGCACACCCCATGATACCTATCATAACGCCTGCCATTTGAAAGTACGTTGTCCAGGGTGCACCACGTGGAGGTAAGTCTATCGTATTCTTAAGAATAATTGTTTAGAAAACCAGCAAGGGTTGAAAGTTGCCCAGGGTGCACCACGTGGAGGTAAGTCTATCGCACGCTGTCCAGGGTGCACCACGTGGAGGTAAGTCTATCGCACACACCCCTCCGCTTCCAAATAAGATGTTGATAGTGAAGGCATATTTCCAGGGTGCACCACGTGGAGGTAAGTCTATCGCACACCCACTTGGCTCTCCCCTCAAATTTCAACCCTACACGGATGGGCGGGTTATCTGAATATTTGAAGTAATAACTCTATTACCTGTGTGTATTCAAGGTCAAGGTTACCGTTCATTAACTACACGATCATATCAATTGTAACCTTGCAAAAGAAAGGTAAAAAACAACGTGATCTAATGAGTGGTGGAAATGGAAAAGTTAACATTTGAGTGTGATCATACCTTATTTCGTATTTTTGATATACTCGTGGCTATTTTAATTAAAATGGCCTTCTTTTAGCAAACACAATAAAACTTGACGCAATTCTGAAATAAATCTGAAGAATTCAAACAAACGCTTTCCACTTTTTGGCTCCATCCTTTATATGGTCATTAGAAACACACAATTTAGCAAGAAAGTAGGAAGAATACCTTTTCTATGAATCGATTGTCCTCAAAGTGAAAGTTCGCAAATTATTGACCTTTGTCCCTAGACTTGAGTCGATTCAATATCTAATGAATGCCCAAGGCTGGAAACTGTGTTTAGGAGAATGTAATCAAATCTTCTTCATTTAGTAGTTATGCATTTCTCCACTACAATCTCTTAGATGCAATCTGTGGAGTAAATTAAGGTTTGAGAACTTACTCTTTTGCGTCTTAAACTAATAATAACAGTAATAAAAGGGGTAATTATAACCTCACCGACAGTTGTCACCGTACTGCGTGTCAACGGCTTCCGAAATTGAAGTCATTTGATTGATTACTTTTACAGGGGAGTCTATGTGAAATATTCCATCTCTTGTAGCTGGAGGGGAGGGGGGGGGGGGGGGGGGGGGGGGGGTGGTGGAAGGTGTCGGCCGATTTGACCCGGCAATTTAAGACATTTAAAAAGTAGTGTCCAAAAATGACATGCTCGAAATTTCAATAAATTTCCCCCAATGGCTAGATGTTATAAACCACCGTCTTTTCAGGCTACACAGGTTCCGCCAGATTATGCTCGAATTCGTTATATTATGTTAAAACTATGGAAGTCCATCATTTTAGTGTCTCAGTCTTGACTAAATAATTACTACTTTTTTTGAAGAAAAAAAGAGGAGTTAATTAAATTCAGGTCCGCTTTGACTTCTCTCTCACCTGCTTATTAAAATTAAGTTTAGGTGTTTCCCATTAAGAAAATGGTCGTCTCAGCATTTTCAAAGGAGGTTATTGTGAAAAGTTATTCACGTATTAGTTATATGTGTCGTGGCAATCTCTGTATTCTCTAGCGTTTTGTTCTTTCCTATCGACAGATTTGATTAAGGCGCAGTGTAATATTTATATATTTATTTGTATTAAATGGCAGGCGTTTTGATAGTTATCATTAGCCCTTTAGTTGACTTCAGGCTTCTCAGGGAGAAGGAACATCAAAGTAGCATAGTTCGGGCTTTACAGAGGGAAGGTTCATCAAAGAAGCAGAAATGACAGGCGTTTTGATAGTTATCAGGAGGCGTTTTGATAGTTATCATTAGCCATTTAGCTGACTTCAGGTAGGCGTTGTGATAGTTATCATTAGCCCTTTAGTTGACTTCAGGCTTCACAGAGAGGAGGAGGAACATCAAAGTGGAAAAAGTCGAGAGTCAGGGAGAAGGAACATCAAAGTTAAAAAAGTCGAGAGGGATGGGGGAACAGAAGAGTGTTTCAGAGGTGTAAAAGTAGACAGACACAAGGGTAGAAAAAAGGTGAGGTGAGTACTGTGAAAGTTGTCGAATATGACACACAGTGGGGTGATGGTAGTTTGAGGTCAGAAGTCAACTGCCGGTTAATAGACATTTTTGCCGTATGAATATACGTTGCCCAGGGTGCACCACGTGGAGGAAAGTCTACCCCACACCCCTCGTGTAATATTACTCTTGAACAGACAGGTGATTTTTTGACATATCTTTGTTAACGATATGCCGAGAACCCTCGTTTTAACATGATTGAAATCATTTTTTCCTTACTCTACTGTTTGATCAAGATTGTCTAATTTGATTAATTTACTAGATTAGCATCAGCAATACCTTCACATATATATACACATCCGTAGTAGACACGCGAAAATGCTAGACACACTTACTGCCGTTTACCATTTGAAAAAAAGTACCTTTAAGTAGACAGAGGAATTGCGTCTTCTTACTTGCAGCGCAGTTTCTTGATTAGTCTTCTGAACTATTAATAAAACCTTGATCACTTGCAAGCAACCCTAATAGGCACGGCCATATAGGG